TTGATTTCTCTGGCCCAGTTTTCAGGTTTAGTTTTGGGTTTTTGGCTGTGAGTCAGTGGGATTGTGGTGAATCCCTGGATCTGCCCCTCAGCAGGACTCACATTTGGGATGATCCCTGTTTTAATTCTGATGTGGAAKGMAGAACTRCCTGAGGAACCTGAGCTGGGATCTYCCTATTTGTGAGAAYAGRAACAATAAATAATCTGAAAAACCCCACTAAAATCCCCAGCAGGGATCTGATTCCATYGCGTGTGAGATTCCAGAGGGATGGAACAAAGAAGAAACCAAAGCAGAGAACAATCCAAACATGCTTTATGCACTGAAATCAGGAACAGCCTCAGGGGTASCCCCACGTTTAGCACCATTGTGAGATGGGAGCAATCACACAATCCTTGAAAAAAGGGAACACGGGCACGAGCGCGCTCGGGAGAAGGATGGGATGGGCTGGCTTGGAGGAATTATGGGATATCACGCCAGGAATGCTGCTGCTGTGATTTTCCCTTGCATTCCAACTGGAAACACACAGCAGGATTGAGTCCGTTCATCTAGCATTTGTTTCTCCATGAGAAGAAAACRGGGGGGAAAGTTAAAAACACGATTTCTCTTCATCAGATCCAAAAATGTCACGAGGAGGCAACAAATGTGCCCTGTAAATGTCTCCAAGGATCATCCCAGCCCTCCYAGCAGGAAGCAGCTGACAAAGGAGAGCACAGGCAACATCCTATGGCAATTTATTATTTACAACCCTTGAGATACAGAAACAAGGCAGCCCTTGAGTTACTGGTCATAAAAAACCCCGGGAAGTGCAGACACAGCCGGGGCTGAGAGCCCCCACACTCACCCCACACACTCACCCCGCACGGGGAGCACTCCACAGCACAACAGACAAAAGCTCTACAGAGGGGCGACATTTCCAACTGGATCCCAGTTTTCTGCCAGGAGCAGGGTGCAGCTAAACCCCACCCTGGGCAATCAGTGCCCACCCACCCTCTGCCACCACAGCAGCAGTGGATAATGATGGGATGGAGCCCGGCCCTTCTGTTCTGTGCCAGCTGAGCTGCAGCAGCTCCTGCAGGGATGGAGGAGTGGCAGGATCGGCTCTGGCCAAGACAGCTCCGTGCTCTGCTCCGTGCTCGGTTCTGTGCCAGCTGAGCTGCAGCGGCTCCTGCAGGGATGGAGGAGTGGCAGGATCAGCCCCGGCCAAGACAGCTCCGTGCTCGGCTCTGTGCTCCATGCTCAGCTCCGTGCTTGGCTCCGTGCTCGGTTCTGTGCCAGCTGAGCTGGAGCGGCTCCTGTGGAGATGGAGGAGTGGCAGGATCGGCCCCAGCCAAGACAGCTCCGTGCGCGGCTCTGTGCTCAGCTCCATGCTCAGCTCCATGCTCAGCTCCATGCTCTGTGCTCAGCTCCGTGATCAGCTCTGTGCTCTGTGCTCAGCTCTGAGCTCGGCTCCATGCGCGGCTCTGTGCTCGGTTCTGTGCCAGCTGAGCTGCAGCAGCTCCTGCAGGGATGGAGGAGTGGCAGGATCGGCTCTGGCCAAGACAGCTCCGTGCTCGGCTCTGTGCTCGGCTCCATGCTCCGTGCTCGGTTCCGTGCTCAGCTCCGTGCGCAGCTCCATGCGCAGCTCCGTGCTCAGCTCCGTGCTCGGTTCTGTGCTCGGCTCCGAGCTCAGCTCCGTGCTCCGTGCTCAGCTCTGTGCGCAGCTCCGTGCTCAGTTCTGTGCGCAGCTCCGTGCTCAGCTCTGTGCTCAGCTCCATGCGCAGTTCCGTGCTTGGTTCCCTGCTCCGTGCCCAGTTCCTTGCTCAGCTCCGTACTTGGTTCTGTGCTCAGCTCCGTGCACAGCTCCGTGCGCAGCTCTGTGCGCAGCTCCGTGCACAGCTCCGTGCTCAGCTCCATGCTCCGTGCTCGGCTCCATGCTCAGTTCTGTGCTTGGTTCCCTGCTCCGTGCTCAGTTCCTTGCTCAGCTCTGTACTTAGTTCTGTGCACAGCTCCGTGCACAGCTCCGTGCTCAGCTCTGTGCGCAGCTCCGTGCACAGCTCCGTGCTCAGCTCTGTGCGCAGCTCCGTGCAC